TATTTGTTGTCTTATATATATATATATATATATATATATATATAGATTATTCATATTCAAGACAGTGTCATAATTGGTAAATGTCCTATGGAGCTATTAACATACATGCATTTAAAAATCTTGCATATTTAAGCTTCAAGGAGAGCTAAAACTAAAAGAATATTATGACAACCCAAAGATTTCTAGATCGTGGTACTTTAGTAGATAATTCTTATGTTAACAGATTTTATCTTAATTCTGTTCTTTCTTAAAATTGCTTGCTCAAACGGTTACAAAATACGACCTAATTATAGTGAGCTTGACGCTCTCCAGAAATATTTGTTTACATACATTCTTAAATCTTAGTACTACGATAGATATAATTCCAATTAGACATGTAGTTTGATGTCCACTTCTTCGTAGGTTTTTGTTAACTTCCTTATAGCCTCCTACCAGTGGCTCAACGGTAAAGTTGGCTCCAAAACGATACCTGCGGTGGGCAGAGCGCAGATAGCCCGCTATGAAGCTTTGTGCTTAACAACAAATCAAACAAACTTTCTCACAATTTTTATCTTTTACACTAAATGCTCATCTGGCTCCATAGGTAGGATAATTGTTGCTGTTCGTCTGTTTGTCTGTTTTTTGCTTGTTTTTTCTTATGACTGATATAAATCACGAGGAATTACCTCTTTAAACATTATATGTTTCTTTTAACATCTAAGGCTCACAATGTTTCTTTTAACATCTAAGGCTCACAAAAAATATATTTTACCCACCTACCCTTAATATTCAAACAACTTCCTAATTTCTGAAAACTTTTTTTTTGTTACTTAAGAAGTTAAATGTTAAACCCACAACCGTTAATGACTCTATGAAGTGTCGCCTGAGGTGAAGAAAACTTTGGTCAGCACCGTAGTTAACCGTCATTTTATCAACAATTTATTAAGGATGCCAAGCAATATCAATTGTTATATGTTATCTTTTCTGGCTTTTGATTTTACTACAAGAAAACATAAATCTTTAATTTGTGAAAAACAACATTCAAGAATACAAAAGCAGAAGCAACCGGTCTGTTATTGTTATATGAACCAAGAGACTAACAGAAATGTCCTTCTTTGGGCAACATCTACAAATTTCGAAACACAAAATAAGAATCTATAATTATAGATACACAAACTAATTCTAAACAG